ATTTGGCTTTGGTGGCACTGGGTAGCTTAAAAATATTAAAGAATGTCTTTTTTAAAATCATGATATATACAAATGATCTCACACCATCCTTGAATTTCTTTTTAAATTTCAAAATAAACATAATACTCTGGTTAAAACTAGTCACATTTTTTTCTTTCATGGAAAAGTATACAGAGGTTGCCAAAAAATGTATACACAGTTTAAGAAAGGAAAATGGCATATTGAGATTTCGATGTTGAAGTCACATTTAACTTCTGCAATAAGAGATACGTGATACAATATCAAACATAACAAATATCATGTTATATATACTCTCTGTAAGTGGTATATAATGTGCTATTTTAACCATTTTTTAAATGTACAATTCAGTGGCATTAATTATATTCACACTGATGTGCAGCCATTACCACTATTTCTAAAACCTTTTCATTACCCCAAATAGAAGCTCTGTAACTATTAAGCAATAAGTTCCTCCTTGTTAGTTACTTGGTAACTTCTAATCTACTTCTCTGTCTTTGTGAAAGTTTCTTAAATCAGTGATAATTTTAGCATCATTTTTTCAAGTATGCTACCTATATGCTCCATTTGAGATTTTGATGTCTTAACACCCCCCACACACATCATTTCTATTTTCCTGTCACTGCAGATAGAAATTTCTGTGGTGAACCCTAATCCTTTACAGATTTTCCATTTACCAGTTCATCACCTATATTGTGGTTTTTCTCAATGAATTACAGATTTAAAAAAAAAATTTATATATCCAACTTTAATCATATATCATGCAATTTTAATTTTAAGGATTACTAATTTTGAGAATCTATTTTAAAGCATTCTATGGGAACATATTCATATGCATTTGAAGATTTTCAAAGATATAGGGTACATCCTGTGAAAATGTTAAGGATCTTACATAGCTCAGAAGTAGACTTTAGCTGAAGTATATTACTACAAATTTTCAGGAATGGTATTCTCAAAATATGGAGTGAAGACAGGGACCTTATAGAAGGTTTTGTAATAGAGGAGATAATATCACAGTAGGGTTTTCTTTAGCAAAGTTAAAAAATACAGCCCTAAATTAATTGCTAGCATTAATTATTTCATAATGAGAAGTCACATGTTCTTGATATTATCATTAATTTTCACTGGGGAATGGTTTTTTCTTCCCTTTCCTTTCCAACCTTTTCTTCTTCTCTGTTGTCCCCATCTTTCCCCTTCTTTTTCCATTTCTTCTCTTTTCTTCAAAGCAATGAATTGGGAGGTAATCGCGAGGGAATTCATTTAACTAGAAATGACAGTTGAGACTCTCAATTTTTTTCTTCAAATTCAAAATCAGAAAATTGGTGTAATTGTTATACTTTCATTGATTATTACTGAGAATTTTCAATTAAATTTATTATTTGAAGTGTGTAAATGAATAAAAGTTACCTTCCTAACTCATTCAAGTTTCCACGTCAAGTGTTCTAACGTGATTTGATGTCATAGAAATGTCTTTCACTAAGATCTATTATTATTGCTTATCTCATACTAGAATCAAAATATTCTTCTGCCTGTTAGATTGAACATTTAGGAGATGTTGAGGTTCATGTTCTTTTTTACCCCAGATATAGACGAATGCTCAGAGAACATGTGTGCCCAACTTTGCGTCAATTACCCTGGAGGTTACTCTTGTTACTGTGA